ATTATTATTCTCGCTGAAAATCTATACTTTTCATTTCTCAATTAAATATTTATACGTTTCATTTCTCAGTTCTCAATAACAACTTAGATTTATGTTAATGAAATTATTATTATTATTATTATTATGTTTTTTGTTTGTTTACTTGTCTGCATTAATGTGTTTCCTTCCAGTGTTTGCCTGTAATTTGTTTTTGACTTTATGTTATGATTGTCCATAAGGTAATTACTTGTATCTACCCTGTGCTCTGTCTGTAATTGGCCTTGCGGCTGTTGACTGGGCACATAAATAATAAAGAATTGAATTGAATTATCCACCGCCCTGTTTATATTTCAAAAGGCAACGTTTCGGAGACTGGATCCTGCCTCCATCTTCAGGTAAAACCTTCTCAGTTGGGTCCAATCGACAGAGCTATTCCCTATCTCCGGAGTACTTTTTACCTGAAGACGGAGACAGACTCCAGTCTCCGAAACGTCGTGTTGTGGAATATAAACAGGGCCGCGTTTTTAGATAAAAACAGGACTATGCATAATGTCCAGAAACACAATATTTATACTATTGTACAGTTGTCACAAACCTTTAGATCTTACTTACAAATTAATGAATTGCATATTTTAGTTTAATTTCATTGTAAGTTGGACCCAGACACAATGAGCTTATTACAGGGCCGGGTTTAGAGTACGTACCATAAAATGCATAATCGTGCCAAAGATATTAAACGATTATGGGATGTTACTTGAAGATATAACATCCAATTGAATCAAATCACACAATACAAGTCATTGATCTCTATTTAATATAATTTTTAAATGTTTACCTGATGATAATGATCGAAACATGTCGTGATTTTAAGAAATGAAACCGATTAATCGGTTATAATTTGTATACCCTCTTTTAATAAAATACAATATGACCTTAATCACACACTACAGCATACAAAGAGTAAAGGTAGAAATTATATTATAACGCTTTGCTTTTCCACACGAAAGATTTTCCCAAGCATCGCGCAACAGAAGCTATGTAAATCCGTATATAACTGCTCCTGGTCAACATTAATTTAACACGCGTCCTTAATTAGAACAAGTGAGACTATCATATCCAACAGACGTCCCAGAGTATTGCTTTATGGGACAGAATTTGAAACGTCACTATAAACTTCAGTTATTCCTGCTTTTGCTCGTCACAATCGCCATTTGAGTGTGTCACTTTTAACCCCTCGCAAGACACATGCAGCTAGAACACTCAGTTTGAAGCCTCGGGCCTCACACTGAAAAATGAGATGGTTATCATGTCGTGATTCGCTGACTCTTACCTTGAACTGAACTGTGTTGTCAGGTCGTAAGTCTGAACTCAGTAGGTGTCTTGGAGTAAAGATCTGATGTGGTTTATATTCTTGACAATAACAGATGCTTTGTTTTGTTTCCGATTTACTTTTACATTCTGAACCTTCAGTCTATGTCCGGTGGCTCAGCCATAAACAGAAGACGCGCGATTTTCCTTCTTACAATCGTTCGATAATTACACCGCTCAGCTGCCGCAGCATCTCCGCAAGGTTACCATGGCTACGATCACCTCCACGGCCACCTTGATGGTTCGGTAAAGACTGTAGTGGACTCCTGTATGATAGTCGAGCTGTACGCTTGCGAATACTACAAGATATTAGCCCCTCCCCCTTCTACAGTCGCCACTCATTCTTGTGCTGTGCGGATACCTGTTCATCTTTCTGTCTTTCTCTGCCACTGTTCTGCACGCAAGCTCCTGTCTGTAGCTGTATTTGCTTCTATTTACATTACAATAATAGACACCATTGTCGGTCTTGCCGATAATTATGTTTATCAGAGAATCACCAGTTGTGGTATCCAACTTAATATACGTCAAAACAACAATCATATGCTCATCTTATCATCTCTTCTGGAGCTACTCCCATTGGCCTCTAGCTTTTCTCTGTTGTCTGAGGTTGATTACAGTCTTATTACTTTCCCGGCAGGAGGTCATGCCCAGAGGCTCTCATTTCACAACCCAAAACAAGTAATCCTGGTCGACGTTTCGTACGATGAAATGGATTCGAACAAGGGGCCTAGTCATATATATTCTCACCTGATGGAGTGTGACTATAACGTGGTTTGGATTGGTGAGTAGATTTATAGACCACCTACATATCGTAACTACAATAACTCTAACATAATCGCTGTTTCCACACTTACAGTTCAGCAGAGTAAACAGTCTAGTGTTCTTTGCTTGCTACTAGACGTTTCTTGGTAACGGCTCGAAATATTTGCTATTCCTCTGCCTCCGGTTCAAATCCTCTCTTCTTTACAGATACTTGTGCAGAATTATCACCTAAGTCATCTCAGTTTATTTCAGCAGCAGTTTCTTGGTAACGGATACTAACAATGCCCTCTACTTTTGTCCTTACCAGCTGGCTAATATCCCACGACTGACTAAGCTCTCAAAGTCAAAGTAATATTGCGACTGACGATCAGTCAGTCAGTAAGTCTTGGTATCGAGCACCCCCTTGGGGCTCATGACCAGATATTTATTACTCCTCGACAGTTACGGTCTTGTTTCTGTGGGACGCCCTCTCTGACGAGAGGACGGGTCTGTCTTTTGTATATGCTGCTGGCCCTTGCCAGCGCAGCCTTTCTCGGGTCCTAGTCCCTTGGGACTTGCTACCATATTTTAGTGTCTCACATTTGAGACTTCCCTTTTCGTCGCTTCCTACGACTCGCAGGGTCACGGTGGAGGTATTCGACCCCGCCTCCATACAGGGTAGTACCACTCCTGACTAAGCTCTTAATTTGTCTCTTGCTTATGACATCTTGCACGGACAGAGTAGAAAACATAGCTCTTCCATTGTTGTAGTCCAACTGTTGCATCATTAGGAATATGCTGCCTAGCAACAGGAACGTGTTTCCCGAGCAGTTACCAAGAAACTCCCACCTCGAACACTGATGAACATGGGAAAGTAACAGAGTTAGGCGACAAAAAGTTGAGACGGATAAGCCCTACTTCCGGTTCACCAGTGCAGAATCATGAGAATTTATAAAGATAGGCGCGAACACTAGGAATTCACTAAAGAAACAGTGATATATATATTAAAACGTATCTTAAAGCAGTAAGTTGGAAGAGTGTGACCTGGTTTCATCTGACTCACGACAGTGGCCATTGATGGTTCTGATGCAAACAGTAAAGAACCTTCGGGTTCCATGCAAGGCTTGGGATTTCTTCAAGAAGTGGGTAGGTCTGTTGGCTTCTGAAGAAAGGCTCTGTTTTATAGAGCCAATTGTGTGTGAAGCTGCGTCCTTATTGTCCCGCATTATGCCTGAGTAATTTTTTTTGTCAATTTAAATTATTATTACTCAGAATTAGAAGTGATGAGATTTGTGATGCTGCTATTTATCTCGGAGACGCATTCCTAATGAAAGGGCTTATTTATTTTTAAAATTAGTCTTCTGACATGTGCCGAAGTAAAAGTAAAAGTAAAGCTACCCCTGTAACAGGCCGTGAAGGCCCATAGGGTTGTGAGACGTTGAGGCTCCCACATTATCTAGACAATCGGCTCACAGATGGCGGTAAGGTTGTCAGCCTTACGCGCCGGCCGCGCTTTACTCCCCAGGAAAATTATTTATTTAATTTCTGATATTATATAATAAATACTATTGTTTTGGAGGAACTTATTACTTCCATTTTCAGGGAAGATTTGTCTTCCTGAATATTTTACTTATAGCTACGTATGTTGTTATGTTCCTGATGCTCTTGTATGTTATGATTGTGCTTCTGGTTGCAGGATGCAGTTTAGTGGATTCTAAGGGGTTCCGAAGGTGATGTATTGAACTCGGGATTTCCGGGTTCTTCCACTGTGCCCTTCACCTAGTGTTCTAAATAACACCAAAGAACGCAATGTTTCAGAAACAGGAACCATCCTCAAGTAAGCACGGGAACAGGTCCAGTTTCCAGCACTTTGTGTTCTTCAGTGTTCTCTAGAATAAGGGACGATGGACAACGCCCAGAAACCCGGCAATCCCAATTCACTGCAATGTCACTCATCCCGTTTCATTTCGGCAGCAGAGCCTGCGCGTTAATAGCGGGTCCTACTCCCTTGTTAAGGGCCGCGCCATAGCTCAAGCGGTTAGACGCTGCCTTCCCACCGCGGCGGCTAGGGTTCGATCCCGGGTCTGGTTAAGTGGGATCTGTGGTGGAAAAAGTGGCGCTGGGGCAGGTTTTCTCCGAGTACTTCGGTTTCCCCTGCCAATCTTCATTCCACCAATTGCTCCACAATCACCCTCACCTATCATCTGGGGCTGCTACAATAGGCCAGAAGTGGCCTCAGTACAAGGGACTTAGTCCCACCCCACTAGCAATAAAAAAAAAAGCTCCTTGAGACTCACGACCAGAGATTTGTTTCAACTGAGCCCTTGCACTAATAGTCCTTATGTAACGTCCTCTCTGACGATAAGATGGGTTCGTCTCCTATGAATATACTTGGCCTTTTGCCAAGTGAACGTATCGCACTTTTAGCATGTTACTGAAAATTCTCCCTTTTGCACTGTATACACAAGTCCTGTGTCAGTAGAGGCTTCGTAAAGCAAATCATGCTTATCTTATGGCAGCTCAGTCACTTGAACGGTGGTGTCCTTGAACACCGATAATTTTAAGGCTCTTATATTTTACTGACAGCCTCTCACTTAGTGTCCGGAAATGGGGGCTAGCTCCATCAATTGGACCCAACTGAGTATGTTATACCTGAAGATGGAGACAGAATCCAGTCTCCGAAACGTTGTGTTTCGAAATAAAAAGAGGACGCTGGATAGTGACCAGAAACATATTTGTGCTTATGTACCGTTGTCACAAACTTTTAGATCTTATTTACTAACGGTCCTGCTTGCAACATCTAGACATGGACCGCATAGAAAACACCTTTCCCCTGTTGCTGTTTCCAATTGTTGTCGTGCAAACATGACTGCTTGCGGAGTCAGTAACGGCTATTGTATAGATGCTTCTTTCGCTGTCGTTGCCTAGCAACGGTTCTACATGTCACAACATATAGTCATAGAAGTACATGCCCATAGTGTTGTAACGTGACCAAACAATTTAACGAAAGCTGTCATCCGTTGCTAGGCAATGGCAGAGTAAATACGCTTCTACATCATCACACAAGCGAGTCGTCGTTAGGCGATGACTAGGTCACACGTCACACGAGCAGGAGAGATTGCTGGGAAGTTTTTTCTGTGCGGTCCGATCCGAGGCTGAGAGAAAGCCACTACGTGTACGATAGCGGATTATTTATAAAATCAATTAAGACAGCATGACTTGTGTGATGAAAATCACAAACAGCGGGTGAAGGCTGGATTACAAGCACTGCTAGAAGCCACAGAGCATACCGCCTTGGGAAACACGAAGCCCTGTGATGTGCAGAGATTAATGAGGTAACTGAATCTGAGAAGGGCCTATGAAATTTGTGTGATTCCAAACGAATGCCTCAGGCACCTTCCAAGAAGGTCACTTGTATATTTTAATCGTTGCCTTCACTTGCCGCATTTTCAAAAAATTTAGAAGGGCGCAGAAATCATAACCTTACAGAAAACCGGCAAGGACCCAAAATTTCCGCAAAATTTTCTAGAACTCTCGAAGGGATGAACACGGCTGATAATACGCCACAATCGAACGTATGATTTTATTGCTTGTCACTCCTAGAGCTGCAACTCTCAAGACGATGACCGTGAAAACTTCTGTCTTCTAGGATATCAAGACATACAGTCTGATATAAGTTTACAAATATTTCGCTAAGAATGTATTGCTTCTATCTTCAGGGTCGAAGATAAAGCCAAGCAAGGAAGAAACAAGAAGCAAGCAGTAAGTTTAATGCTCTTTTGGCTTACTCTTCAACGGTGAAGTTGGAAGCAGTAAGTTTCTCCGAAACTTCGGGGAAAATTCTAGCAGAATATACGTTGTTTACCCCAGAAAATAGTAATGTTCACCCTTGAAATTTCTAGGTGCCCTAATTTAAGATGTCATGATTTTATTGAGTTAATCCAACCGAAATGCTTATTGCTATGTTCACACGAAACCGTCACTGCCCTTTCTCGAGCCTTATGATCCATGTGCTGTCATATCCGTTTTAGCCAAGTTCCGTACTTCAAGAAATAAACAGAGGCTCCTGAGATCACCTTGTTGTGCGTATGTTAATTACCCCTACATCGTGAAAGTCCCGTATTGCTGGAAGAAAAAGGCTAGGTAAACACGTTTCTGCGGCAACGAACATACACATTGAATGCATCGTTTTATACGCACTCCGTGTTATGCCAAAGGAAAACAGGCGGTTATTGTTTTCATAACTTTTATATTACGAGGGAGAGTCAGTAAATAAGTCACAAATTGATATAAAACGTAAATCATACGATATTCGAATTTGAAAAAGAAATTTCTCGACATATCCTCCACCAACACTGATACACTTGTCCCATCTCTTTGCCCGTGGGTCGAAACCGGCAGCATAGAAGTCTGTTGACTGCTGTCTCAGCCACTTCCGCACTTCCGTATCAACCTCTTCGTCATCAGCAAAACGTTTGCCGCCCAGTTGTGAGCTGCTTTCTGCCACAAACAG